TGCTGTTAAACCAAATAAGCCACAAGGTTCTGCACCTAAGAAAGATCCCATCCGAGACTGCTGAGGAGAATAGGGATCACTAGGCTGAAGCAAACCAAAACTGCTACAACTATTCCTAATACATAGTATGTTATTTTTTTTTCTTTTATTGTCTCTACTACTCTTGCCTCTCTGCTGGCTTTTTCTTTTACTGTGCTGTTTTGCTCTCAACAAATTTCTATTTTGCTTTTTTTCATTTGCTGAATGTATTTTTCTTCCAGAGTAGTCAGCTATTTTTATTTCTGGTGTTTTTGTTTGCTTGTTTTTTGTTTGTTTTTGTAGAAACTGTGTTTTCTAAAGCGTAAAATGTTTGCTTCATTTAACGTTTTAGCATCTTACACAAAAGCTATTTTATATATGCACAATACTTACCGATAACTTGGAGTACAGAATTCATAAATGGTCTCTAGTGACCTCTGTTTTAGTGGGCATGTATAGAAAATTAAAATATGGTGCCTTTGGTGATAATTTTCCTTACTGGTTCTTATGTATTCTGTAGGAGTTGTGGAATGTATGGCTGCTGGGACGGTCATGCTGGCTCACAATTCAGGAGGCCCAAAGCTTGATATTGTTGTACCTTATGAAGGTAACATAACTGGATTCCTGGCAGAGAGCGAAGAAGATTATGCTGAAACTATGGCTCATATCCTTTGTATGTCTCCTGAAAAGAAGCTTCAAATAAGGAAGAATGCTCGTCAGTCTGTTAGCAGATTTTCTGATCAAGAATTTGAAGTGACATTCCTAGCATCTGTGGAGAGGTTATTTATTTAAAAAAGAAAGAAAGAAAAAGGGGCAGCTAGGTGGCACAGTGTGGCCCTGAAGTCAGGAGGAACTGAGTTCAAATTCGGCCTCAGACCAAACACTTGACACTTACTAGCTGTGTGACCCTGGGCAAGTCACTTAACCCCAATTGCCTAAAAAATAAATAAATAAGAGAAGTTATGTCCTGTAACTAAACATATGATTAAATGCCTTTTTATGTAAATATTTTTTGAAACTTTCATTCCCCATTTTAATAAAGTCATCCCAAACAAGTCCTCAGGTGTGTTTACTGCCATGGATATTTATTTGAATCTGTGAAGAAGAGAAAATTTATCTAAATTAAAGTACATATACTTTTGTTTTAAATGAACTGACTTATGAGAGAAAATCTAAATTTTTTGGTTTAGTTTAGTTTCTGGTCAGAAGTTTTATATTTTCCTTTGAAAAACGTGTTTCAAAAATGTACTAAGAAGAAATATTTACCTAAAATTTGCCCGCAATTTTGGTGTTACAAGCATTTAACATTTTCTAATTCACTGCCATTCAGCACACACACACTCAAGATTTAGAGAGAGGGAGTTTGCTTAATTCTTCACCAATGATTGATATAATTATAGAATTTGAGTTGGAAGGAATCTTAGCACCATCTAGTCCTACCCATACTTAAAAAAGAATGCACTACAACAGTGGGGGTAAAATTTAAATAGAAAGGGATCCCTAAGGCTGGATATTGACTTAGAAAACCACAAATTAATGTTATTGACCTCAGATTGCACACTTCCCAATTACATCATAGTCTGGGTCTTGCCACTTGCGGAGGAGTTTGACACTTCTTCGGTACAACATACTCTACTGATTGTCGAGGCGAGGCTTGAAGACCTCTAGTGAGAAGCACCCACAGCCCTCATGGCAGGCCATTCCACTCTGCAGAGCTCTGGTTGTGAGGGAGATTTTCCAGCTATCAGGCCAGAATTGCCTCTTTGTAGCTTCTAGCCATTACTCCTGGATCTGTTGTCCTTCTCCCAAAGGATAGCCCTTCATGTCCTTGAAGAGGGCTCTCATCCCCCCCAGTCTTCTTTTCTCCAGGTTAAACCTCTCCAGTGTCTTCAGCCACTCCTCCGGGACATGTACTCGAGACCCTTGCTCACCTTCTTAGTGTCCTGGACCCCTCTGGCAGCCTAGTGAAGTTTATGGACTCCTCAGAATCATGTTTTTAAATGCATAAAATACAGTGGAGGGATTATGAAGGAGATCGATTATGTGGAAATACGGTCATCAGAGTTTTTTTTTTTAAATGAATTCCTGGACCCCGGGTCAGGAACCATCTGCTGTAGGTAAACTCCAGCTTATCAATGCCCTTCTAAAACTCAGGATCTGAGAACTGAGCACTGAAGAATGCGTTCTGACCAGGGTGGAGTAAAGGGGGCAAGGGAAGGGAACAAGCATTTATGACACGCGTGCTCTGTGCCAGGCACCATACTCGGTGCTTGACAAACATGGATCTCACTTGATCCTCACAACTCTGGGAAGTAGGTGCTGTTATAATCCCATTTTATAGTTGGAACAACTGAGGCAGCCAGAAGTTGTGACTTTACCAGGATCACACAAGTAGTAAGTGCCTGAGGCTGGATTTGAACTCAGGTCTGTCACCTTATTCCAGGAAGGCCAGCCATCACATCACACTATGGACTCATAGTGTGCTCTCGGTCCCCTAAAACAGTGAGATCTTTTTGAGACAAACTGCTTCTAACCCTCCCAATCCACTCTATGAAACTGTTTTTTTGAACCCAAGGGCAACATAAGACTTTACATTTTTCCCTATTGAATTTCATCTGATTAGATTCATCCCAGTCCTCTGCCCTGTTAAGATGTTGAACAGCAGAGCTAACTACAGATCCTGGGACACTCCACCAGAGATCCCCTACCAAGATGACAGTGAGCCATTAGCAGCTACTCTTAATCAGGCCATTCAAACATAATCCTTTTTACTCCCTACTCCCTGGGAATCTCCAAAGAAGCCGCCTTGCTACTGAATAGCAGATGATGTCCTGGAGGTCTTAGCCCTGGGGCTCCAGCCCCAGGGTCCCTGCTGCCTTGTTTGGCAAGTGCATCACCTGGCCCACTCCTTTCTGGCAGGCTTCAGCCAAGCTTCACATTAATCCCTACTCCCCCGGAAATACCACTGCATTTCCCCTCTCTCCAGTTCTGGAGTCATAAATTAATACTGCTGTGCCCCTGAAAAGATCAGCTATTGTGGTGAAATAAGCAGAGTTTCTAGTTCTGCTAGTTAATTCTGTGATCTTTTTAGACCTGAGGTTTCTCATTTGAATGAGAGGGCTGGTCTAAATAATCACCAGCATCCCTTCCAACTCTAGACTTAAATTATTCTACCTTTTCTAAGTTCACATGTTAAGGTTATCTTTAGTGTGTTACAACGCTGGGTTTTTCGTACCCCTTTGCCAGTTTGCAATTCTGCCCCCAAAGCATAACGCAAGTCCTTTGGGCTCTGAGGTGATGTCAAGACCTCACTAGTCTCAGCATCTTCTGACAGCAGCAGCTAAAGTCCCAGCAACCTCTCCCTTGGTTTTCAGAAGGTGGCTGAGGTAGAGAGGTTTACTGCAGTATGGTATATTGTACAATGCCTTCAGACCACCATTTGACACAGTGGAAAGTAAGATTCAGGTTAAAAAATGTTTTTGTTTCAAGAATTTTATTAGCTGTACAGTATATTTATAGTACTGTAGCTTTCACATGTTGTGAAAAATGAATGTCAGAAATCAATGGGTTGGTTTTTGTTTAATTTAGATGTTAGCACAAAAGGTCACAGAATTCTAGGGATTTAATTACTAGCGAGAAAAAATGTTTAGCATGTTACCAATTTCATTTTGTGTACTACATTTTATGGCTTATTTCATGGTTATTGTATTAGGAAAAATGTATATTATCAGAATTAATGTTTTGTTATGAAGAATTGTATGCAGAAAAGTGTATTTCCAGCAATCTATAGCCCTTATTTCTAAATGTGAGCAACAAAGTAAGTAGACTGTTCTTTGTATAGTTGTTTTCTGCAGCTTCTACCTCTAAAGGTAAGTTTAGAAGTTGATTTTCACCTATATAAGTGCATTTGCCTCTCCACCTTCCTACATACCCGAACAATATTTAAAAAATAGTAACTTACTTCAAAGAATTCCAAGATCAGGAAATTAAAGAAATAAAGGCTTGATAGTTTTTTTATGAAAGATTTGTTGTTCAGTTGTGTCCAAATCTTCATGAATCCATATGAGGTTTTCTTGGCAAAGATACTGGAATGATTTGCCATTTCCTTTTTCAGTGGATTAAGGCAAACAGAGGTTAAGTGACTAGCCCAGGGTCTCAGAGGCAAGATTTGAGGCAAGATTTGAACTCAGGTCTTCCTGACTCCCCACCCAGCTACCCAGCTGCCTCCTATTTATAAAGGATAGGGCAAAATTAATTTGCCTATTAATAATTTTTAGAGTCCAATACAAGATTGGTTACTATTTTAGTCTGGCACAGATGTAAAGGACATAATTAGATAAAAGTTATAATGTGGCTACTTATGCTTTTCAGAATGAGTGTATTTAATTATGTAAATATGCCCTGGGGCGAACATCTTTTTTAAAAAACCTAAATAAATAGTCCCCTTGTTCCTGTTTCAAGTGAATCCATGGACAATAAAAAAAAAGTTGCTTTTATTTTAAGATTTGATATTTGTCCTCCCTACTAAATCAAATTCAGTTTTTTGATCTAGTTGATTTTCTGATGAGGATGATATATAGAAACACAGAGAGAAACAGAAGGAAGGCTCACTGAAAAATCGCATTCACATTGAATTCACCATTCATAAATATTTAATTTTTCTCTTCTAATATTTGAGAATGCCAAAGGTGCTGTTACGAGGGGAAAGGGGAGGACAAGAGGAATGTCAGCAAAATTATTAGGTTGTAGCAAAGGCAGTATCACCTCACATCATAGCCATGGATAGATCATAGACTTACAGCAGAAATGGACCTCAGAGGGTCTCTAATCCAACCGATGAAGAACTGAGGGCCCAGGAAGCTAAGTATCTTCTTTAGGGTCACACAGGGTCATTTATCTCAGAGGTAGAACTTTTTTTGTTGTTTGTCAACAAGATTTTTTTTAATTAGCAAAAATTTATTTTCTCTCTTTATTTTCAGCTCCCATGTATGCCCCCCCATCTCCACTGAAGAAAAACAAAACCCTCATAAAAATACATATGGTCAAGCAAAACAAGCCCATGTTGGCTGTATCCAAAAACATCTGTCTCATTCTGTACCCAAGTCCATCGCCTCTGTCAGGATGTGTGTAGTGGGAACGTGAATTTATGGCTAGGGTTATCACTTCATCACCAGTGCTCTGTTACTGAGGTTGATCATTCCATTGATCAGAGTTCTTCCATCCAGCAAAGTTGTTTGCTTTACATTGTTGTTATTGTATAAAATATTCTGGTTCTGCCTGGTTCCCTCTGCATCAGTTCACAAAGTCTCCCCAGTTTTCTCTCTCCTTTTTCTTCTCTTAGAGCACAGCTGTATTCCATCATGTTCATATGCCAAAATCTGCTTAGCCATTTCCTCTTAATGGTTTCCAGTTCAGAGGCAGAGTTGGAATCCCAGTCATTTGACTCCAGAGACAGTACCTGCTACTCCCCCTCTAACTTCTCTGTCTACAGACATTGCATCAGCAGTACTGTCCCATCATGACATTTGTTAAAGCAAGAGATTATGCTAGAAAGTTCAAAAAGACAAAAAGCAGGTCCTGTTTTAAAGAAGTGAAGTCGGGGCAGGGAAAATCCAACACATACACAAATGAGCACATTAAGGGACAATTACCAAGGGAAAGAGCACCTGGGAAGTGGGGGCTGGGAGTCGGAGCAGCTTCTAGGCTGAGCATTGCTGGAAGAGCCCTGAAGAAGTTCTGGGCTCAAATCTAGCCTTTGCCCCTTACCTCTGTGCCACCTTGGGCAAGTCAAATCACCTCTGGGCCTCACTGTGCCCACTTCTGTTTTCCCAGATGTTCTCTAAGGCCCCTTTCAGCCCTCTATGATCCTGTGACTCCCATGGGAGATGACTTGGGCAGCTACACAGAATTAGGGGAATGAATGGTTAGTAGACCAGTTTAGCTGGAATGTAAAATTTATGAAAGGCTCAGTTTAAATGAGGCCAGAAAGGTAGGCAAGAGCCAAATTGTGGAGGCTCTTAAATGCCAGATTGAGGAAATTGCGTTTTATGCCCTAGGCAATGAGCACCTCGAGAGTTTGTTTTTTGGGTTTTTTTTGGGGGGGGGTTCTGCCTATATCTTGTGAAGATTTCTTTTTTGAGATTTTGTCTATGTAAATAAGCAAGAAGCCAACTTTCCCCTCAACTGCCCTCTCTCCCAGCTCCAAGTTCAGCAGCTTCAAAGAGCTGGGGCACAGGAAAACCCTCATAGGCCCAGTTTCTGAAGATATTTAGGGCATGCTATAGGATATGACTCAGGATTATGAAAATATGAAGACATCTACACTGTATCCTTCTCTACACCACCCTCCGACTAGCCTCTGGGAAATTTCCTGACTACTGCTCATCCTGTATATTGAAGGTTCATAGGCAATCGGGTTGTTTTTTTTTATAACCACATGACTCAGTAATATTAAATAAAACTGCAAAGAAGCTGTCACAAACACTGGAGTGGACCAACATGGTTGTCCAGTCACCTCCAAATCCCCTGCGTAGCCTCCCATTTTGTCGGGGGAGAGCCCTGGGGAACAATCCCATACTCCTTGCTCTCACTGTAACATTAGGAGTTGAAGGTTGAGGCTCTCTTTTGGGGTCAGCGACTATAAATACTGGATAGGAGGGGAAATGCGTCAACCAATGCTGGAGAACTGGATCTTGTGGCCTTTTAGGAAACTGTTCTGGCTCTCTATCCAGTTTGGGCTCAGCTCTCAGGACACTAGGCTGGCTACTTTAGAAGTAAACCTCCAAAACTTAAACCAACAAATCCTTCTGAAACTCATTTCTCCCTGACCTCTTGGGCTAATAATTCCAATTTTTGTGGTCCAATCCAGTTTTCCTGCTTCTCTTCCTGCTTTCCACAGATAGGAATTCAGGTCTGGGCATCCACTCAGCTGTCTGGGAGCCCAGTTTCTGCAGCTTTTCCTGCCCATGTGATGGACTGGCAGCTGTAAAGTCTCCCTAGGCATGTGATTCCACAGTTCCAACCCTCACCTTCAGTTGTGGTTAACTGCCTGGCAGTCAGCCACTCCAGCTTCACTAGACAGCAGCCGAACTTGCCAACACTGCCTAATGGGGAGGAAGAAAGTCCAGCCCGACTTTCAAGGCCAAATAAGGAGATGGCAACGCCATCCCATCTGGTACACACTTGTATGATCCAGTCACTGGACTCTTCATGTACAGCCTCCTAGCCCAGAATGAAAATGTACTCCCCGAGGGGCAGAAAAATAGCACGTCAGAGATGAACAAAACTCATGATGAGCGTGGAGAGAAGTGATCTGCCACTCTATTAGTCACCTTTTGTTTCTCCCCAAATTACCATCACTCCAGGGCTCTGCAATAAATTATAATTGCAGGACAGATGGGGGATATGGTGGTAGCCCCCTAGCATAAGAAAGGTAATAATAATAACTACTATATAGTGCTTTAAGGTTTGCAAAGCATGCATTATCTCATTTGATTCTCACAACAACCCTGGGAAGTAGGCACTGCTGTTATTCCCCTTTTACATGAGACTAAGGGTAAGAGAAATTGAAAAATAACTTGCCCAAGATCACACAGCTAGAATAAAGTATCTTAGGCAGGTTCTGAATTCAGGTCTTCCCTGACTCCAAATTTAGCACTCTACCGTACCAACTAGCTGCCACATGTATTTATGAAAGATGACAAACACAGATGTGTGAGTTATCTAGTTAAAACTAGGCCATCTATGGTTGGCCTGGAAGTTACAGGGCAATTGAGAAAAACACACTGATATGTAGAAAGATGAAGCCAGGGGGAAAAATACAGTATTACAAAAACTAGCTGGTCCTATCTGCAGTCATGAGATAGTTGGTAAAAGTGTCTACTGCTCTTGGAGTTCCAGAAAGCACTCTTCCAGAAACTTCTTTCATAAGCATACTGCAGGTCACTATATTTGGAGCTCCAATTATTTTTTTAAAGAAATGATTATTGAGACCCTTTGTTTTTATGTAATATACATTTCCCTCCCCAGAAGTCATCCCCTACAACAAAGAATAAAAAAGGGGGGGGGAAGGTTAGTAAAACTAACTAAGGTATCAAAAAAAAAAGTCTGACATTATCTTCAGTGTTCCACACCCATAGCCTCACACCTTTCCAAAAAGGTAGGTTAAATGATTTCTCATCACTTGATTATTATAATTTCATAACCTCCAATATTGTTTTGTAGTGGTTGTTATGTCCAGTTATGTCATTGTGTATAGTGTTTTCTTGGGTCTGCTTACTTCACTTTGCATCAGTTCGTATGTCTTCCTATGCTTCTCTGTATTCATCACACTCATCATTTCTCAAGGCACTGTAATGTTCAGATTGGAGCCTGACAGATTAGCATCAAGAGTTTATAAGGTAATTATGTTTGAGATCTCATTGACTTAAGTAGCTCCTGGTGCTTAGCTCTTTGAGCCAAGACAAGTGGGCGGACCGTCTCTGCTCCTTATAGTCTTAGAATTGGCAAGAGGTTGAGTGACTTGCACTGGATTATATTGCCATATGTGTCAGTGGTGGTATCTAAACCCAAATCTCCCTGGCTCACAGGCTGGCCCTCTATCCACTACCCCACACTCCCTTCTCATTAGAGAGCTAATGAAGCAGAAATAATGTCTGTGACATGCATTTCAAATCATGTAGCAGAGTGGAGATGCTAGAATATTAGTTCAGAAATGATACTGTGATCATACTTATGTACTTGGGTTAATTGTTCCTTCCTGCCCTTCACCCACAACACAAATCTTGGTATTGGAGGGAACACACGTCTCCTCAAAATGTTGATTTGGTGTCTCTGATGTCTGGTCACTCACACAGTTTTCTTCTGACTTTTCTTCATCCTTAGGGTCATCTGACATCTCTCCTTCCTCTTTGGAAATTGCCAGCTTTTCTAGAGATTCCATCACCTCATTTCTCAGCTCATCTTCAGATTCTTCAAAATTTCTGAAGTATTCAAAAGCAAAAGTTAATTTTATCACATTAAAGCACCAAGAAATAAGAATTCACTGGAGTCAGTTCCCAGGCAATCTCTTCTCTATAAGTTGTATAAACTCTTTCAAGACTCTGAGGTATTACTGAACAAACAGTGGTTTAATAACCTAGAAATACCAGAGTCTGATGTTGGAAGAGTGAAAGATTTAGGGAAAGGAAGGGAGGTTTTCTTCAGCTGGTTAATGATTAGCAATCTTTGTGGAGATGAGAAACCTCTGCAGGGCTTTGTCTATCTGACTTCATGAATATTTTCTAGTAGGTTTTAAGTTTCTTGAGGGTAGGGAATACATCTGATTTATCTGTGTATCCCTTTCCCCACCTACCTCCAAACCTAACACAGTATCTTAGTAAATGTATTCAATAAATGCTTGTTGAATGAATGAACAAAACAATTCTCTTAAAAGTACAAGAGGAGAGTAATGATTTTTGACATTTATATAGCCCTTTAAGGGGAAGAGGAAAAAGCATTTATTAAGTGTCTATTACATGACAGACAGTGTACTAAGGGCTTAATAATATTAAGTCATTTGATCCTTTAAGGTTGGTAAAATGTTTTACATATATTAGCATTTCTAGAGCTCTTGAAGACTTGCAAAGACCTTTACATATTTCATCATACTGGATCCTCATAGCAACACTATGAAGTAGGTGCTATTATTATCCCCATTTTATAGATGAGGAAACTGAGACTGAGTGAAATTAAGTGATTTGCCTTGGGGCTACTCAGTTAGTATCTGAGGCTAGATTCAAAGTCAGGCCTTCCTGTCTCCAAGTCCAACAGTCTATGCACTGTAACACCTAGCTGACTCAGAAAATATTGATTATCTTCTTTGGGCCTCATAAAAATCCTCAAAGTGTTGTTTTTCTCCCTATTTTACTTGAGTCAGACAGCTAGAAAGTGTCTGAGACGGGATTCAAACCCAGATCTTTCAGACCCCAAGTGAAGTACTCTGTCCCTCATACTATGAAGATCTGTGTGTATAAAACTACATGTTCATGTAAACTTTTATAGAAAAACTCATAACAAACTACTCTGGGGCTGTATAGGTGTGCATGGGGCTTACTATACTGCTGACGGAATTAGAGCACTAAGTGGTAGTAAGAATTGAGTGAAACACACCGACTCTATCTTGTAACTCAGTTCTAGAGCTAGCTCAGCTCCCTGTCTATTCAGTTGTCAGTCTAGCCCAATTTCTGTCCTGTAAGAAAACTTTATTCAATTGTGTGACTTGTGAGAAAACCTCATTGTATCGTTTGAACCTAGTCCTGGGTGTCTGGGAAGCTGGACCGCCGTCACCTGCTGCTTAGAGACCCTTAACGAAAGACCTAGGTTATCCAGATCGATGCAAGGAGTTTTCTCATAATTGTCCATCTCAAGCAACTCATATGTCTTATCTGAAAACTGATTCCACACTGATCGATCAGTTATTGTTTCCTGTGCCTTTGATTGAACACAGATACTTGGGAGGAATGGGACACCTCTTCTTCTGATTTCAGGGAATTGCTCCTGTTTTGCTCTTCTCCTTCTAATTTGGAAAATCCCTAATTTTTCCTCCTATTAGAAATTGCCTAATTTTGTATCCTGGTTAATTGTTTTCTTTGAATTAATTGGTCTTATTTGATTAATTGTTTTTAATGTATAAAAATGTCTCCCCCTTTATAAGGATTCCGTGCCAAAGCCAAGGAAGGCTTCGGGTCCCAATTTGTTGGTCAATTGACATGCATTGCTTAATAAATCTATAAGCTCAGCAGCTCGAACCTTTGTTTCCTTAGTCATTTCATCTCTCACCCACTACACTACACTAAGACTTTTGAGACACCTTGTATACATACAATATATATTTAAAAAATTATTCTTTTGAGAGTTTTGTAGCATTCCTTGATAGAATTGGAAACATACCTGAATATCACAAAGCCAGTCTGGGAATCACTTAGCTGGATAATTTACTAAATGACACAAATGGCTTGAATTTTTTTTTTCAATTTCCAACCATTCCCAAGCTCTATTACCCTATTACCCTATCCAGGGTAATAACAGCAACAATAATAACAGTAGCTAATATTTATATAGCTATTTAATATATGCAAAGTGTTTCACCTATCTATCTGACTCTTACATTAACAGCTGTGGTGTAGGTGTTATTATCCCCACTTTGCAGATAAGAAAACTAAGGGTCATAGAGGTTAAGTGATTTACCAAGGTTCAGAAAGCTAGTGTCTTAGGAAAATCTGAACTAGAGTCTTCCTGACTTTGAGTCCAATTCTCTATCCACTTCCCCTGGCTTGGAGAACATGACTCATGGCACCTTTTTCTCTCTTCCATCTCACTTGCAGAGCTATCAAGGAAAGAAACTCTTCTTTTCACTCTCCTTCCTATTTCCTCACTTAAACTGATTAATATTCAGTGTGGGCTGAGAAGTGTTGACCTTGAGTAGGAAGCCTCTCAATGCTGCCATTCTTCTATGGACATCGACAGATGTCTCTCAGAGTCTTTCCCTATGCCTCCCTTTTCAAGATTTATAAAATCTCTCAATAATTGAACATATCAGATAAGCTTGTCATTTAATATTTTAAATTTTAAAATTACAAGTAACTTTTTAATAGTATCCAATACATATTAGAGAACTACAACCAATGATAATGTTCTCACTTAAACATATGTAACCATTACACAGAATTGCCTTGTATCTCACAGAAATGCCCGAAGAAAATTCTAGCTAATAATCTTGTGTATAAGAAAAGACTCAGAGCCTTTTAATCAATGAAATAAAATGCCAGTAATATCTTATCCTAATTAAAAAAAATAAAAACCATATGGGTCTTTCTGATTTATAGCTCTTAGCTTTATATAACTGATAGCATATATTACACATTCAGGGGGAGGGAAACATTACATCATGGCTTAGCCACCAACTAGCTGTGTGACCTTGGACAAGTTCCTTAGCCTCTTCTGGTGGAAGGGATGCTAGGTATAGAATCAGAAGGAACCTGGGTTCCTTCTTCTTCTTTTTTTTTCTGGTCTAGGCAGTGGGGTTAAGTGACTTGCCCAGGGTCACACAGCTAGTAAGTGTTATGTGTTCGAGGCCAGATTTGAACTCAGGTCCTCCTGAATCTAGGGCTGGTGCTCTTTCCACTGTGCCACCTAGCTGCCTCAGGAGCCTGGATTCTTACCTCAACTTGAACATTTACAAGTTATATGACCACAAACAAATCATTAATTTCTCTGAGTCTCAGTTTTCTCACCTTATAGATAGGGATAATAATGCCTGTAGTACCTCTCACAGGGTTCTTCCAAAGCTCAAATGAGATACCATGTGAAAAAATACTACTTAAACTTAGGCTTTTGTTATTGTCCATCAGAGACACGAGCTCTAGTCCTGGGTCAGCCAATAACTAGTTGCATAATCTTGAAAATGAGTCACTTAACTTTTCTGGGTCTTTTTTCTTATCCATAAAATAAAGAATTGGATTAGATAAGTTCCAAGTTCCCCTCTATATCTTTAAAAAAAATCTTTGAATTCTAATTCATAAAATGTAAATTTTGGAAGGGGTAGGCATTTGTTTCTCACTTATCAATGAATCAGTATTTTAAATCTACTCATTAAATAGGCAAAGGCCCAACTGTTATTCCATTCCAAGTACAGACTAATCTGGGTATCAATGTTTAAAACTACTGAACAGATTTTTTTTTAAAGGGAAGGGAAAGGGGGAAAATGCTCATTTAGTTAGAGATATTCTTTTCCATCCCAGTAATGGAACATTTCTACCATTCTTTTATGTCAGTCACTTACGTGTCATCATCATCATCATCATCATCATCATCACCATCATCAGATCTAGGCTCCAGTTGTTTTTCATCCATAACAGTAGCAGAGGTTGGTCCCACCTTCACCTCCTCTTCCTCACTGGGAAGCCAGTACTTTAATGTTTCCACTAATTAAACATAAGGATCAGTTAGCACCTTATTAAAACAAGGAACCTCTACAATTCTCTAAAATTTCCTGTTGTTCCTCTAACATTCTTGGTGACATCACTAATTAATGACTATGAAAAGCCAGCCTCTCTCCCACCCGGCCACACCATTTTTTCTGTGACTATTTCGTAAATTTTTAAAAAGCATTCCTTTCTGACTGGCAAGGAGACTAAAAACACCCAACATCCAATTTTCTCTAATTTGTAAGAAGGGGCTTGGCTACCACCATTTACCTAGATTAAAGCACTTCCATGACAGATGGAATGTTTACCACAGAACCCCCATTTATCAATTCATACCTGAAATATACGATTTCATGACAGCATTTTTAGAGTCAGCATGTTGTAGGAGAAAAAACATCGGGGTAAAAGACTTGTAAAGAACTAATGAGATACTTTATGTAAAACACTTTAAACACCTTTAATACACTATAGAAATGTCAGATACTGTGGTTTTGTGTTAATATAAACATTAATATTATTACTCTCTATAAATTTATTACTGTCAAATCCTATTCGACATGATCTTTATTTGGTTCTTGTGGTAGGTGGCAAGTATTACAATATGTTCAACCTCCCAAAGCAACACTGTTAGGAATAACCTAAATGCTGCATTATCCACACCTGGATCTTCCCCTGCACAGGTGAATTGTGTTGGACATTTAATCCCAGAGTGGCTTTGCCACTAAACAAAAGTCCAAGTCATTCTCCTTTATCATGAATGAACATGTGCTCAGAGAAGGAAGAATATTTTTAATATACTAATAAAAGCCAACCATAACTTGAAATGTGAATCTAGTATAGAAAAACTTTGCCAGGGGTAAATGTAAATTATTGTTTAACTATCTGCCCTACTTGTCTCAGTTAGCACAGTTATTACAGAATTGACAGCACCTCGTTTAAATACATTCTATGTAGAAAGGGAGTTATTCTGTAGCTGGGAGACAGGGGGAGAAGTAGAGCAGCGATGACTAACCATTTCCAGTCTCCTCCCTCTATCCCCTGTGATTTGCATAGAATCCAAGCAGCATGATAGGGGTTTGAGAGGAAAATCCTCACTTCATTCAACTTCATTCAACTCTTCTCGCTGTTTTGGTAAATGGATTCCTCTGGAAATGACTTGCCAAGACCAGGTTATGATGGAAATTAAAAAGAATTTTCTGACCATAACTAAGGTATGAATTAGACTGAGGGAGTCCAACGAGTGGGAAGACAGCTTGTAGTTCAAAGGGATATGTTGTGGTTTCGCTAGCGAGCAAACTTGCTAGCTAGCACTTTTTGTAATTAAAAAGAGCAAAATTGGAGCTTTCCGCTGTGTCCCTGCCAGGATTCCACCTTGAGCTTGATTCCTAGCGGGGCCAACAGCTGCTCGGTAAAGAATATGTGTGGCTTTAAAGAACTTCACACTGGAAAGCAGCTCGATAGCGGCGCCCAGTGGGGAGATGACTTAATAACGGTCGCGTATTGAAATCCAAGAATACGGAAAAACTAACGGCAGTTCGCTGACACCAGTATCAAAAATGTGTTTTGGTTTTCTCTAGATCTCTGTTTTTGTACGTAATCCGTAGTTTTGTATTAGAAAAATCTAGACTATGCGTAATAAGTGTGAGTATGTTAGGAAAATCTTTCTTGCCATTTATTTCACTCTGTGTGAGCTAAACTGTGTGCTTACTAAAGGATGCCTAAGAACACGCCAACAGTATACCTAGAGTAGCTTTTGTGGGAGCCCATGCTTGAGGAGAGCCTTGAGGGTGTTACATGCGAAAGTAATAACTTCTACCTACTCCCAATATTCCATGTCACTTTTTAGGGCATTTCTTCTTTCTCTTGATTTTATTTTAAAATGTGAAAATGATGGAGAAATGAAATAAAATATAATCTGAAGTTCTGCCAAACACTGTGATTAAAGAATTTTTTTCTGATGTCAACCAGTATATTTACTCCCAAGTGGATACTCTGTATAATTTCCTGAAGTACATCCAAAGTGAATCAGTTTGAACATTCCCATCTATGTGGCATACTTGCTACTTAGTTGCAATGAGAGCTGATATAGACCAAGGGAAAAGAAACAGACATATTTCATTTTTAGTTTTAGGAAGACCTATGTTACAGTGGTTCATGAGATAGGCAAGTAAATGAGCTACTGATTGACCACAGAAATGCAAAATTCTTTCCTTTTCATTTTAGGATAATTCCTGTTTTAGCTATATATGCAACTACTTCATAAAGACTGGCTGAGGAAAGAGGTCATCTTCATAATAAATAAGGGGTTTTAACCTTTTTGTGTCAAGGACACCTCTGGGAGTTGGACAAAGTCAGTGGGCCCCTTCTCAGAGTATGATTTTTAAGTGCATAAAATAAAATACACAGGATAAAACAAAGGAATCCAAATCTGTTGAAATATAATTATCAAAATATTTTTTTTAAAAAAACAATATCCTGGACCCCTAAAATCTGTCTTACGGACCTCAGGTTAAGAACCCCTGTTAAGAAGGGTTCCTTTAGACGAATTAAAATGCAGTTGTGAACTAATTGTGTAACTACAAACAGGAATCTATTTATCAAGGTTGATAAGTGTAGTCATCGCCAATAAGATTCATGATCAGGGTCTTCATGAGGTCCTTGATCACTTAAAAATTTGTAATAGCAAATACACAAATAGGATAGAAACAAAGGTGAAAAATACACAAAGACAATGAACATCATTGACCAAAGTATTCAAAATTTCACATTGAATAGATAGGTGCTGTTTGGTAACAGAACATCAAAATGTATAAATATATATACATACACATGATACATACACATGCATTGAACATATATGTCACATTATGCAATATTAAAATGTACTTCTTTTCATATAACTATACTGTTCATCAAGTATGAAGCTGTGTGTAAAAGAAATGTTTAACTTAGCTATAGAAGACATTTTCAAGAATAACATTGACAATTCCCAACATATATGTGTTTTCTACAAGTACTGAGGTGGTTCGTGCTTCCCACTTCTCTGCTCCTTCTGCCTCCCAGTCAATCTATTTTCTCTGGTGGATGAGAGTAGATTATCAGAACATTTCAAATAGGAGTCTATTTGAGCCGTCAGAAGTGTAGCTTAATAATCACTTCAAGGTTTGCAAAGCACTTTACATATGCTACCTCCTTTGATCATCATCATCATCATCATTTTCAGATGAGGCAACTGAGACAGACTAATCACCTTGCCTAAGGTCACACAGCTGGTAAGTGTCTGAGGGAGGATTTGAATTCAGGTCTTCCTGACTCCAAGTTCAGAGCTCTATCCATTGTACAGCCTAGCCATTTGGTAAAGAAGGCCTTCAGCTATACTGGCTTTTGCTAAATCCCTTGGTATGTAAAGTTAAAATTGAAAAGGCTTTTGACACAGAGATCTGGGAGGGATTTGAAGGAAGTCATAGAATCACAGTTCAAAGGATCATAATTCGAAATATGGAAGGGACTTCAGAGGACTTCCAGCCCAAACCCCTTATTTTACAAATGAGGAAACAGTCTTAGGGAAGTTGCCCAATATCACATAGGTAGTTAGCATCAAATAGGATTTAAAATCAAAAAGGATTTTAACCCCGATTCTCTGACTGCAGTGCTCTTTCCATTGTGCATACTCAAGTAGAGTTGTGAGATTTCATTTTAATAGAAATTCATCAAGACTGATTTGTTTTGGGGCAGCTAGATGATGCAGTGGATAGAGCACTGGCTCTGGAGTCAGGAGGAACTGAGTTCAAATAAGACCTCAGACACATAACACTCACTAGCTGTGTGACTCTGGGCAAGTCACTTAACCCCAATTGCCACACATACACTTGTTTTGCTGAACAATGAAAAACTTTTTTTTGTTGTTGTGGTTCATTTATTAGTTATGTCCAACACTTTGTGACTCCATGGACTATATAGCATGCCAGGCCCTTCTATCTATCCTTCACTATCTCTTAAAGTTTGTCCAAGTTCATGTTTGTTGTTTCTATGATACTATCTAGCCATCTCATCCTCTGCTGTCTCCTTTTCTTTTTGCCTTCGATCTTTCCCAACATCAGGGTCTTTTCCAATGAGTCTGATCTCATTGTGTGGCCAAAGTATTTAAGCTTCAGCTTTGAGTATTTGACCTTCCAGTGAGTAACCTCAATTAATTTCTTTAAGTATTAACCGATTTGACCTCTTTGCTGTCCAAGGGATTCTTAAAAGTCTTCTCTAGCATCATAATTTGAAATAATCAATTCTTCAGTGCTCAGTTTCCCTTAGTCCAACTCTCGTAGCCATACATTACTACTAGAAAAGATACAGATTTGACTATATGAATCTTTATCGGCAGGGTGATATCTCTGCTTTTTAGTGTGCTGTCCAGATTTGCCATAGCTTTCCTTCCAAGGAGCAAGTGTCTTTTAATTTCATGGCTGCAGTCACAATCTGCAGTGATCTTTGAGCCCAGGAATATAAAATCTGACACTGGGTAAGTGTGAAAAAGGGGTAAGTCTTTTTGGCTAATCTCCTCACACAATCCATTTCAGGGCATCCTAAATGCTCTGAAACCTCCTTTTGTCCTCACTAATTGTCAGGTCAAGTCAACAAACTATTAATGTACCTACTCTTCGCCAGACACTGTGCTTTCCAAAGAAAGAAAACAAAATAAAGCAAAAAACAAAAAAAATGAAAAACACTCCTTGCTCTCAACAAGCCCTGTAATGGAAGAAAACACACAAACAACTATATACAAACAATATATTTAGAGAATAAGTTGAAGATTAATCCTGGAGGGAAGGCACTAAGTTTAAGGATGAGTAAGAAGGACTTTCTGCTACAAAGACAGAAGGTGAGAATTTAGCTGAAACTTGGAGGAAGTTTGGAGGTGAGAAATAAGAAGTGAGTGAATGCTGAGATGGGAGACATGTAGTAAAAACACCCTGAGATCAGAAGATGGAGTATATTGTGAGGAA